ACCGTCTCCATCTTCAGATACTACAATAGAACAAGCACCTTATAAACAAACAAGTTTCCTCCCTGTCCCCTAGTACAACCCCATAATGCCACAGCTACTGCATAGCTCAAATTATACAAAGCTTAAGCCTCTGTAACTGTTACGAGTACCATTCTGGTTTAACCTGTCATTTTATCCTAAGCGTTCCAGGTGAATTTCCCAGCCACAACTGAGAGGATGAGATAAAAAAGCAGTTTCATTGTGAACATCAGTATTTTATCAATCACTGGAAATATAATATTTCACTCTATTTTTTAATCTAAGAGCTCATTTCAGACAGTTCCATTTCATTGCATATCAGGACAAAGACCCACCTTCAGATGCAGTCTCCAGCTAGAACTTTGATCTCGCGTGGGTGCTTGCCGTAGAACGAACTGCTGTGCAGCAGCGTTTGCTTCCTTCAGACATTTCATATTGTCAGAGAGAAGAAAGCCCTCACTCACCAGTGGCAGCTGCATCCTTTTCATCTTCTTTCTTTCCAGGTACTGGAGGTGGAGGCGGTGGCGGCATCAACTTGGAATCAATATCTTCACAGTCAGCATCGTAATCATCCTCATCGTCATCTAACCAGCCCGGAGACAAGACTGCATATTAAGCTGATAATAAAAGGGAACCAGATAGCCCTCCCAGCTATATCATCTCCTCTGTCCCAACCTGCAGAGACGGTCACGCTAGCTTAGCAAGATGACCATTCTCTCTTCTGAACTAGACCCAAAACTCTCACAACTTCAACTTCCCCCGCACGAAACCACTTTCCAAATTGGAATTTAAGAAAGAGTGGAATGGAGGGATAAAGGTAAACTGATAGCAAGCAGGCTGGAGCACTTAAAAAAAAAAAGAAGAAGAAGAAGAAGAAGAAGAAGAAGAAGAAAAGAAACATACTGTCATCACCCCTCTTTACTCAAGCTTTGCAGAGCTAATAATGCTGCTTAAGAAATAAGAAAATAAGGTTGAAAAAGTTCAAATCAACTTTACATCCCATCAGTCACAATAAGACAACAGAAAGGTTAAGTATAACGCAACTTTAAGAGCTAAGCAAAAGATTCAGCAATTGCACTAGCAACTACTGAAAGGGAAAAGCCACAGATGTTTGAAGATTTGTTTCTGCCAGAGCGCTCTGGAACTGACAAGAGAACCAAAGTGCCTTCTGGGGAGCAGTGATTTTTGCCAGAAGGATGTATGGGGAAAACAGGAGAGAGATACTACGGTTGAAGCGACTCATTAAGGGATCAGGATCTCAACTCTGTCTTTGATTAATCTCTGAGAAGGAGCTGACTGTCTGCATAGTTCTGCTCCTATGAACACAGGTTAAAGAAAGATCAGCAGGTATCAAGTATTCTCTGCAGGGGATCCCATGGCAAAAGAATGAACCTGGTTTCTCTTCTGAGTACAGTTTAACTTTGAAGAGCAACTCAGCCCTTAAAAAAAGAAGATATCTAGCAGGGCCTTTATCCGGTGAACAAGGTCTCCCAAAAGCTTAGATTCTTGAAGTAACAAGCGAGAAGGGCGCAATAACATACTTTTAAGAGAACCAGTGTCAAGACAATTGCCCCAAACACATACCACTAGCTGCCAGTCGCCTCAGCCTCTTTTAAGTAATGCTTATCCCATTTACCTGGTCTTCGAACTGGCTGAAGGCTGCCCATTGCTTGCTTATACCTACGGCTCTCGTCTTCTGCCACTTCATTAATATCTGAATAATCAACAGCATCTTCTGTGCTCTTAACCCAACCTGAGAAGAGAAAAAAAAAAATCTAGTCATGCAACACTTCATTTTGATATATATTACTAACATCTGACTTCACTATGCCCATATGACTCCTTCCCTATGTTTCCTTTTCTTAGGGGAAAAAAAACATTTGATTAACTTCTCCCATCAGAAGATTTCTTTCCCTTCATTCCAGCCAACAGCTCCAACACTTTTCAATTACCCATACAGACTGGTAAGAAGTAACCAGCTTTAGCATAAGAGAGACCTTTCATTTACTCAGTGAGACTGTTCAACAAGCTCAAGAACCAAAAGAAATTTTAATAATAGTCTGGGTGCTGAATAGGGCTGTAAGAATTTAAGACAAGGAAAAATATAGAATAAATTTATTTATGAGGAAAAAGAGACAAGAAGTGAAAAACTGAAGAGAATAAGAGAGCATGTACAAAAGCACCAGGAGATAAGGTGGCATTAACTCAGGCAAGAAAAAGGAGGTGAGGCCTTTGTCAGATGAGCTGTGACCAGATAATATCATGATTTCCTTGCAGCTCTAGAAGACCTGGGTGTGTTTTATCTCCTCTGAGAAGAGCTCTGATCCCACATTTAACTGATGACTCTCCATCCTTTAACTCGAGCTAACCCGGGGCCTCACCTTCCTCATCCAGATGAGCTCCATCACCCTCCGCATTATCGTCCTCGCTGGCTGTGATCTCAGTGATCAGGTTGCCCAGGCCCAGGGCACCCAACCCAGCCAGGTGCTTCTTGGACTCCTAGAGGGACCAGAGCCACATCCCAACTGGGAGAGTCCTTCAGCTCCACCAGCCAGGCCAAGCCCTCAGCCATCTCGTCCCATCCCAGAGCCAGCACCTGCTGCCTGGTCTTGTCCTGGAACCCAGACCGCTAGGACCTTCCCCCGGTCCAGTCCTGGCACAGAGCCTGCACCGCCAGCATCCCTTCACCCCCTGGCCCGTCGCTTTCCCGCACCCACGGGGCCCCCTCCAGAGCCTGCACCACCAGGACCTCCCGAGGCCCAGCTCATCCCGTCTCAGAGCTCGCACCCCTGCAACCCGCATCCCAGAGCCCCCACCCCTGGGACCCCCCATCCCAGAGCCCCCACCCCCGGAACCTCCCCAGACCCAGCTCATCCTGTCTCAGAGCTTGCACCCCTGCAACCCTCATCCCGGAGCCCACACTCCCGGGACCCCCCGTCCCAGAGCCTGCACCCCCAGGACCTCCCGAGGCCCAGCTCATCCCGTCTCAGAGCTCGCATGCCCAGACCCTCCATCTCAGAGCCTGCACCACCTGGACCTCCCCAGGCCCAGCTCATCCTGTCTCAGAGATCGAACCCCCTGGAAACCCATCCCAGAGCCCACGCCCCCCGGA